TTCCTTTATTTCACTTAGTGTAGCCTTCATTTTTTCCCTCTAATTTGTGACCATATTCAACCAATTCTGTGAGCATCCTGATTACCAGTGTTTTTGAACTGTGTATCTGATAGGTTGGCTACCTGTTGCTCGGTTGTATTTTTTTCTGGAGCTTTGATTTGTTCTTTCATTTGGGCCATTTATTTTTTTGTCTTGTCGCACCTGTCACTAGTAAGGGGCGGAGCCTTAGGTGTTCACCAGGGTGGGGCAACCTATGTGGCTGTGTTGTGATGCTGTATGTGGGGTCCAAGATGGAACAGTGCTGCTTGCTCCACTCTATGCCAATTTTCAGTGATTTCCTCCACTACTCACAATCAAATTGGGCCCTTCTGGTGCTGATTCCCAGGTGGGTGGGTTTGTCTATGTTCTGGGACCCTGTGTGTCTCTCCAAAGAACTCTCCTGTGAGGCCAGGAGTTTCTCCTTTTGCCTCCTCAACCCCCTCAGGTGTTTTCAGTCAGAGGTTTTGAGGCCTTATTTCCCCACACTGGAACCCTGGATTGCTCGGTCTGTCTCGCTCCCTAGTTGTTCCTCCCAGTTTATCTGCATGTGAATGTGGGACCATCCAGTCCACAATTTTCCACCTCACTGGGTCTGCCAGCTGCTGCCTTGCCTTGAGTCCTCTCTGCCCAGCTGCCCATCTCTGCCCCTCCTACTGGTCTGAATGAATGTTTCTTCTTTAGTTCCCGTTGTCAGACTTCCATACAGTTTGATTTTCTGTCAGTTCTGGTTGTTTTTGTTTTTTTAAAAATTTGGGAGGACTTCCGCCAAGATGGAGGTGTAGGTGGAAACACTTTGCTTCCTCCCACAACCAAATCTAAAAACAACAAAGTTTTAACAACAATAAATGCAACCAAACCATAGAAAATTGAACAATACGGAGTCCGAGAACAATGAACCGCTCAGCTAAACTAGTGAGAGGGGCGAAGTCAGCAGCGGAGCGGGTGGGGCAAAAAAGATCCCCCCCCCACCCAGGCAGCGTGAAGGCAGCCAAGGGCCTGGATTCCAGGTGTGGGGTAGCTACTGGTGGATCCAGGGAAGGCGTGGTGGCTGGCTGTCTGCGGTTGCCCATTTGCGTGCAGATAAACCAGTGAAGAGACTAGCATTGAGGCAGACCATGCAGGCCCCGGCGCAGGGTGGCAGGCTTGCACATTTGCGCTCAGATAAATAGGCGGGGGGTGAGCAGTGAGGCGGACAAGGCGAGCAGAGAGGACCGCCATTGCTCCCTCTCTGAACCCGCCCCCACATACAGTGTCACAAACCAGTGACCTGGGTGGCCCCACCCTGGTGAACACCTAAGGCGCCTCTCCTCATACGTAACAGGCACAAACAGATCAAAACATGGCTCAAGAACAACTCAGAGCCCCAGAGCCAATAAATCTAAGCCATGAAGAAATAGCCAAATTTTCAGATGCACAGTTCAAAACACTGGTGATCAGGATGCTCACAGAACTGGTTGATTTCAGGCACAAATTAGAGGAACATATGAAGGCTAAACTAATTGAAATGAATGGTAATGCACAGGAAACCAATAGTAATGGAAAGGAAACTGGGACTCAAATCAAGGGAGCAGACCAGAAGGAAGGAGTAAAGGACCAAACAGAAAAATATAAAGAAACAAGAATTCAAAAAAATGAGGAGAGGCTTAGGAACCTCCAGGACATCTTTAAACGCTCCAACATCCGAATTATAGGAGTACCTGAAGGGGGGAAAAAACAGTCATGAGTGGAAACCTTATTTGAATAAATAATAAAAGAGAACTTCCCCATTCTGGCAAAGGAAATTGACTTCCAGGAAGTCCAGGAAGCTCAGAGAGTTCTAAAGAAGTTGGACCCAAGAAGAAACACACCAAGGCACATCATCATTATATTAGCCAAGATTAAAATGAAGGAGAGAATCCTAAAAGTAGCAAGAGATAAGGGGACAGTCACCTACAAAGGAATTCCCATCAGACTGTCAGCTGATTTCTCAAAAGAGACTTTACAGGCAGAAGGGGCTGAAAAGAAGTATTCCAAGTCATGAAATCCAAAGACCTACAGCCAAGATTGCTCTATCCAGCAAAGCTTTCATTTAGAATGGAAGGGCAGATAAAGTGCTTCTCAGATAAGATCAAATTCAAGGAGTTCATCATCACCAAGCCCTTATTATATGAAATGTTAAAGGGACTTATCTAAGAAAAAGAAGATAAAAAAGATGAACAGTGAAAGGACAGCAAACTCACAATTATTAATAACCACACCTAAAACAAAAGCAAATTAAGAGGTCAGCTAGATCAGGAGCAGAAACATAGAAATGAAGATCTCAAGGAGGGTTAGCAACAGGGGAGTGGGAGAAGGAGAAGAGGGAAGAAGGCACAGAAAATAAGTAGCATAGACAGTAGATAGAAAGAACTTGAGACACATGTTCATGAACTAAAGGGGAAGAATAGTGGGGGTGGGGTGTGCAGGGTGGAGGGGAATGAAGGGGGGAATAGAACAAATGTAATGGCATAATCAATAAAATGAAAAAATATATTAAAAAAAGAAAGAAAAAATTTGTTGTTCTTCTTCTTTTGGTTGTGTGAGGAGGCACAGTGTGTCTACCTACACCTCCATTTTGGCTGGAAGTCTGGGTATCTCACTTATCAGGTTCTTAATGACCTTATAGCTTCTGTGGAAAGGATGAACCTTATGAAGCAACAGGAGAACATTTGCATATGCCACTATCAGAAGGCAGAATGCACACAGGGAAACCTGAGTATATGGAAATCAACAGAGCACTGAGGGAGGATTAAAGGATATAAGTTTGGAACTGGCCTTTCAAGGAGTTGAGGGATAGGAATTGTTGGGTTTGAACTCAGAGGGGAAAGTGAAGCAAGAAGTAAGAATGTAATGGCTACCATCTGGGATGCTGCAAATCATTAAAAGTGTTGGTGGAGTTCTATTTGAATAGGGACTTGTTGGGGAGGACCACAGGAAGTCAGTGAGGGAAAGATTGGGTCTTGGGTTGTGGGAGAGGCAGGCATGAAAGCTATCTAATAGCAGAACAGGACTATGGCCATATAATGGTGGTGCCAGGCTTGGAGGAGAGAGTTGTGATGTAATGGAGAGAGTTCATTCTGTTGAATTTGATTCAACAAGCACTCACCATGTACTTATTCTGAGTGAATAACAATGACATGGAGATTAAGGTGTGGACCCTTATCTGAAGGACACTCTAATGCAGTCATGGAGTGAGGAACATTCACTGATACCTATAGTAATACAAACTGGGATGATGGTTGTGGAAGGTTTCAAAGGCATTGCTAGCAGACAAAGGAGTGGTTACTGTTGTCTGGGAAGAAGAGGGATCAAGGAAGGCTTCTTGGAGGAGCTGGCATGTAAACTGGAATTTTCAAAATTATGTTGAGCATTTATTAATCTTCTATTGAAATCATACCAAAGGGGAAAAGACAATAAATACCAACCAAATAAGCAAGAAGATATCAAATTATTAATTACTTTGTATATGCTATCTCTGTTTATTTCTAAGTAACTTGGAATTTTAACTTTACAGATAAAGAAATTGAGATTTAAAGAGATAAAATGCTTTAAGATCATAACATTAGTAAGTGGTAGAGCTATGTCTCAAATACAGGCCTTTTTATTTTAAATCCCAGTCTCTTTCTTTATAATAGGCCAGTCACTATGCTTGGTGCTGAAGAGAAGATTGTGACTAAGATGTAGTTTCTGTCTTCTAGGACCTCACAGCGTGGTGTGGGAAATAGATGGGTTTAAAACTGACTTCAGTGCAATATGATAAGCTCTGTACCATTGCTAGGTCCAGAAGTTGTTGCTGATTAGTAGAATGGGTGGCATTTTGAGGCATGAAGATTAGAAAAGTGTTTAAGTGGAGGAAATGGTTTAAGTAGAGATATGGAGGTTGGGAAGATACGAAATTGTTAGAGTTTAGACTTTTAACTCCTTTTTATCTGTTTCCTATTGGTCTTTATTTTTTTTTCCATTGGCCAGGAGCTCAAAAAAAAAAAAGAGATCTTAGAGGTTGAGAAATGAGGTCTTGTTCTTGGAAAATGGCCCACAGGTGAAGATAGCACAGCCCCACAGTGAAGAAAGAAAAGAGTCATGGAGGTCATTGCTCACCAATCATTTATTGGGTGTTTTAATACAATTCCATAAATTTTCTTGTGAAGGGTTTTCAGGCCCCAGGAGCTATGAAGCAACAGTTTTGAAGACTTGTATCTCCCTAGCATCTGAAAACAGATGACATATGTTTTCTCTCCATTTATTATAATCAGACGAGATCGGGCGCGTTCAGGGTGGTATGGCCGTAGACTCCATTTATTATAATCAGAAACTGGAAAGTCATTGAACTAAAACCAGTCCAGTCAGCTGTAGTGATAGGAGCTCAGTGGACAGTCTGTCTGGTAAAGGGTAGGAGGCTGGGTGCTGGAGATGTTGTGGATCAGAGATGCCCTCTGTGTTCTCTGGCTCTCCTAGAAGCCTCTCATTGTATTTCATTTTAGTGTAGACTATGAGGCTTGCAATTCCTGATGTTTCATCCATGGGAGCCAAAGCTCACCAAAGCCCAGATGTCCTCTTCTCAGTTTGTGACATGTATCTTCAGAATACCTTTCCTGTTTCTGAACTTTTGGGAGAAGTTTCTACCTTTTAGTGGTACAATCATGTTCTGTCTACATGGATGGCAAAGCAGGAAATGATTTAAATCCCCAAGCTAATCAAAATTGAGATCTGATTATTTCACCCAATTTACTACTCAGATTTCACCCAACCAGAACACCCTAGAGTTGCTGCTCAAAGAACTGAAATGCCCTAAAAGTGAATGTTAATCCTCAACAACATCCTTGCAAATAGATAGAAAGTAGAGGAAAGAAGAAAGACGTACATTTCCAATTTCTTACACAGAAGTAAATATGACCTTGACACGTAGATTTCTTTCTCAGCTGTAGCTCTGGTGGGCACAAGGCCTAGTGCTGATGAGCTCTCTGCTCTTGCAGATAGTCATAGAGGGGGTTGGGAGCAAGAGCTGTCTTGGTAGGGTGACTTTCACCCTGTTCTCTTCTTTGGGGCCTCCCACTGCTCTGGGTAGGATAGAAGGCTATGCCCTTGTGTCTTCCCTGGGAGCCTTGGCTCTGGACATCCTTATTTATGAGAAATTTTTCTCTGTTACAGCCTTGCTGGGTCCCATGAGATTGTTGATCCTGGGACCCTTGATATCTCTCTTTCTTATTATGGGTTTGCCTATTCTGTTGTTGCTGGCCATTTTGATCCTCTTCATGGGTTTTCCTGTTTTGTCTTTGATGGTTTTGCTTATCTTCATGGGTTTGCCTGTCCTCTTTCTCACATGGAGTTTTCTGACTCTTACAACCATGTCTACCCTGGATTTGGTGGCCCTGTTCTTCCTCTGCCTGGGGGCTCTGTTCCTCACCACAACTCTCCCCAGTCTGGGCCTGGCTGTGGCCTTGCTCACTACTGCACAATTTCCCATCACTCTCTTTGTGGCAGTGTGGCCTTTCTTGCTGGATTTGTGCTACAAGTTTGTGTTCGTGGTGTTGCCTATCTTTTTCAGGCTCCCATACCTGGTGGCTGTTCTTGTGCCCTATCCTAGATTGAGATCTCTGTCCCTGATCTCGGCTCACATTCTGTCCTTGAGTCTGTTGAGTTGGTCTCCCTGACCTTCCTGATTGCTCAACATATGAACCTCTGCTTGTTCCCTCACTTCCTTGGAAGCACCTATTCTGTCCAGTCTCCCCAGTCTCTGACTGACTATATTGAGAGCTCTGGCCTTGTCTGTCTGTCTGGCCATAATGATAACTCTGGTCTTGTCTGTCTGAATGACCACAATGATAAGTGTGGTCTTGTTTGTTTGTCTGGTCATACTGAGAGACTGAGTGTTGTCTGTCTGTCTGAACATCATGATAACTCTGGCCTTGTCTGTCTGTGTGACCATGGTGGGAACTTTGGTCTTGTCTGTTGGTGTGATCATGGTGGGAACTCTGGCCTTGTCTGTCAGTGTGACCATGGTGGGTACTTTGGCCTTGTTTGTCTGTCTGACCACAGTGAGAACTCTGGCCTTGTCTGTCAGTGTGACCATGGTGGGTACTCTGGCCTTGTCTGTCTGTCTGACCACAGTGAGAACTCTGGCCTTGTCTGTCAGTGTGACCATGGTGGGAACTCTGGCCTTGTCTGTCATTGTGACCATGGTGGGTACTCTGGCCTTGTCTGTCAGTGTGACCATGGTGGGAACTCTGGCCTTGTCTGTCAGTGTGACCATGGTGGGTACTCTGGCCTTGTCTGTCTGTGTGACCATGGTGGGTACTCTGGCCTTGTCTGTCTGTGTGACCATGGTGGGAACTCTGGCCTTGTCTGTCTGTCTGACCACAGTGAGAACTCTGGTCTTGTCTGTCAGTGTGACCATGGTGGGTACTCTGGCCTTGTCTGTCTGTGACCATGGTGGGTACTCTGGCCTTGTTTGTCTGTGTGACCATGGTGGGAACTCTGGCCTTGTCTGTCTCTCTGACCACAGTGAGAGCTCTGGTCTTGTCTGTCAGTGTGACCATGGTGGGTACTCTGGCCTTGTCTGTCTGTCTGACCACAGTGAGAACTCTGGCCTTGTCTGTCAGTGTGACCATGGTGGGAACTCTGGCCTTGTCTGTCAGTGTGACCATGGTGGGTACTCTGGCCTTGTTTGTCTGTGTGACCATGGTGGGAACTCTGGCCTTGTCTGTCTGTCTGACCACAGTGGTAACTCTGGCCTTGTCTGTCTGTGTGACCATGGTGGGAACTCTGGCCTTGTCTGTCTGTCTGACCACAGTGGGAACTCTGGCCTTGTCTTTCAGTGTGACCATGGTGGGAACTTTGGTCTTGTCTGTCTGTCTGACCACAGTGGGAACTCTGGCCTTGTTTGTCTGTCTGACCATAGTGTGAACTCTGGCCTTGTCTGTGTGTCTGGCCATATTGAGAATCTAGTTCTTGCCTGTCTCTCTGATGACAGCCTGATTCTTGACCCAGCCTCACAGAAGGTCCATAAGAAGAGCCTGATTCTTTCTGGTTGGTTGGACTAGAGCAAGACTCCTCTCCAAGTCTTCCAGGCTGGTGATGGCTTGCTTGTTGTCTAAGCCTTTCAGACTGAACTTGTTTCTCACACAGATTTAGGGCAAAGGTATATCCTTGTCTTTCAGGCTGGCCACTGCTAGATTTATGACTCAGTCTTTGATCAGAGCTGGAGTCCTGACCCTGCCTCTCAAAATGATCAAAGAAGGTATCTGTTGTTTCAGACTGACCATGGTGGGATTCCTGATCCTGTCTCTCAGACTGACCGTAGTGGGAATCCCTATTTTGTCTCTCAGTTTGATCGTGATGGATGTCCTGGTTTTGTCCCTCAGATTGACTGTGGTGAAAGTCCTGCCTTTCTCCTTCATGCCTCTGCCTGTGTTGTCTGCCTGCATTTCCTGGAAACTTGCCGTCTTGTGTCCCCTCCTGCTGTCCTTCTTTCTGAGAAGTTCTATCTCCAGGTGACTCATTTTCCAGTTTATGATAGCAAGCTTGGGCCAACTGGAACACCAACAAGAGATATTCTCGAAAATCAACACGTCCATTTCTGTCTTTATCCAGGAGCCTCAAGATAGTTTCCACAGTCTCTGGGTCATCTGGTCTCTGTGAGAAGAAAAACAAAGAGAGAAATCAGATGTCTTCCTGTGGATACTTAGATGTGTGCCCATGTCCAAGCGCCAGTCCATTTAGTTTGTATGAGTTTTCCTTGGTTGAGAAACCATTGATCTGAAGTGGCTGGGGCTTGGTTCTAGTCTTTGATCAACTGGTTCTCAGAACTCATCCCTTGCTGACCAATGGGAAGCAGCAGGGCTATAGGGAGTAGATACACTTGTTTAAAATCAGCTCTGTCGATAATTAATTTGAGTCATTTGAGGAAGCTGTCCCACCCCATCACTTGCTATGTTGTAATTCTCTGTTTACCAACCTCTTTCCAACCACACTGTGAAATACTGGAAGCAGGGGAAGCTGGCTTTTTCTATATTTCTATCCTCAGTGGCTAGTATGATGCTGGTATGGAGTAGGTGCTTAATGACTCTTTATTGAATGAATGAATGAATGAATGAGAAGATGGGTAGATGACACTAAAGTATAAAAATTAATATATAAATCTAGATTGCTTTTGAGAAATAATTTCTAGTTCAAAGTTGTACTTACTTCTGTTCCAGCTCAGATACAAAGAAGTGTATATGTGTGCACGTGTGTGTAAGCATGCCTATACACACATGTCTATGTGCTGGAAGTGAACTATTAAGGAGCTGCCTAAACTCTTTTAGTTATAGGGTAGAGCATGACCAAATAAAATAAAAATCAAGCCCCAGCTGCAGATGTCAGAGTCACTCACACTTGACTCCATGGGGCCCAGAGTCTATGCATCTTACCCGGAGGATGTCTCCAAACTCAGTCAAGAGCAGCTGCTTCAACTCCTTCTTGCACAGTAAGGCACAGTCCCCATCCTCTTTAGCATATTTCTGGAATACCTTAATCACGGTGAGTATACTGTTCAGGAGTTGAGCCATTTTGACAAAAACAGGTGAACCTAAAAGAAGAAACAAGATTTTGTTTAGAAGGAAGCCCAGGAGACAGCATTTTCAGAGGAAAAGTGGTCCCTCTTGGTCAGAACAGAAGCATAAGAGATGACACAGTCTCTTCCTTAGCCATTCCTTTCACTCCCTTTGACCCACACAGTCTGGCTCCAAGTGTCACATACTACAGTGGGAGGTGAGTGCAGAGTATGGGTCCCCTGCTAGAAAAAAAATGGCTATTTCCTAAGAGCCAAAAAATATATGGTAGGTGTTTTGCATGCTCCATCCTCTACTCCAGATGGGACTTGCTTGATTGAAACTCTCATATTAGAACAAAAAAGAAAGATGGTCAGGAAGCCCATAGAGGCAGCATCAAGGCCAGTGTAGTGCAGGGTAGTTTTTCATCGATGGCAAGTACAATGAACGGGGCACTACATAGAGCCCACTGAATAGGCCCCAGTCTTCAAATGAATCTTGCTCAAGTAGGGAAGAAGGCTACAGGTCTCTTGCCATGAGCCAAGGAAACTTTTTGGGAAGATAGATTCCAGCAAGTGCTTCTGACCTGGATGGTCGCTTTGGGATATGATTATTAAATAGAACCAGTGAATACAAAACTGTTACAGAAAAAAATAGCAAGCCAAATTAACTGCATAGATGATAGGAAGTAGGATATAATAACCTAATTTTACATTGGCCATGCTAGGAGGCTGGGGTCTTTGGGGATCTGGATCTCCATGATTTCTTCTTGTGGTATGAAAAGCCCAGTTACTAGGTTTATAGACCTCCAAGCTGAAATCCTAACTGCAAAGCACATTGGATTTCCAAAAGCATGCAGTGATGTCTGTGCAGATAAGTTGTAAATAATAAATTGCATGGACTAACTGAGGTGCTAGGGGCAAGTCGTTGTATGAGACTTGACTATTACATGGTTCCATGGTCCAGGGCATTGTCCCTAATGAGCCCTGAACTCTCAAGTCTTGCCTTTCACCAAAGGCAAATGCTCCACTATGGGAGACTAAGCTATCCACCAATAGTTCTAGCCCTTGGTTTTGTAATGCCTAGACATGCTGAAACAAAAGCATGTATATTTCATAGCCTCAAAAATAAGCAACCTCAACTATCATCATATTCTCAGATAGAGCAAAGAAAAGGAAGCAGGAGGGTACTGAGGCTGTCACTCTCAGGGAGTAATCTCCAGACCTCTCTAGCCCAGCATATCACAGCCACCATACTGAGCCTTGTGGATAATGCCATTGCTCCCCAATGCATATCTTACCTGTGTAAGGAGGAATGAGCAGAAGATTGAGAAGTTGGAGAGGATACTGGAGCCCTGAAAACCCATCCTATTTATATGAGTTTTAATTGTCTTGTTAGGCCATCCCAGGAGACACTCATTCTGTGGCAGGGCCTGAATCACCTGGACCCAGCCCAGCTTGGCCCAGCTTGTCCTCTCCCTCTGCAAACCTTTTGGTTTATTTACTTCCCCCACTTGTTCACAAACCTGTTTGTCATTAGATTGGGTGACACTGTTCTAGTCCCAATCCCATTTAATTAGGAGAATGTGTGCGTGCATGTGTGCTATGGGGTCCCAAAAGACAGAGGTATTCTTCCTTAATACATGTCACTTATCAGCACTAATGGAGGACCACATCAAATCATACCAGAGAAGCTTCCCAATATGATTATTGTACAAAAATCTGTCAAAGTATGGACTAACAATTCTGGGTGTTTGGCCAGGATGTAGTTCCTGGAAGAGATTTGTCTTAGGCTAGTGTCATGCCTATGTGTATTTTAACCTATTGACCTATTTTGAATTATTAAAAAAATTTAACAGCTCTGCTGGCTGGAGGAGGGTATAGATACATGACCAATTGGCGGGGGGGAGGGGTATAATGATGGTGTTGCTACCACCATGTGAGCCTTTTAAAGTCTTTCTAAAAGTAAGTTTAGAGCTTAGGAACGACGTGAGAGCTTATACTCTTTGTGAGTAGAGATGCTGTCAGAGACCCGTGCCTCCATTTATGCCCCATCACTGCACCTGTGACATGCCACCAGTGTCTTAGCATAAGAGAGTCATAGTAAATCTTGGTGGAGTAAGTGAATGACTGATTATGAAAGCATTTGGAAATTCTATGTAAAATGCAAAAAATTCTAGATTTTCTTTACTTTCTGTTTTTGCCTTTTTTAAATGCATCTACCCATCAATCAGTTATTAGTAGTGCTTGGGATTCTGCACAAAAGTGCAGGGAGATTTTAGTCTGGTTGGATAAAGAAGTTTCACATAGAAGAAAGGTCTTGAATACCAAGGACAGAACATACAAAGTGCTGAGTGTTAGAAAACCTTATATGTGTGGAGTCTTCAGAGACTGAGCCCCAAAGATGAGAGTCGTGTTGTACCCTAAAGGAGTCAGGTAGGCAGAAGAGAAATTCTGATGAGGAGAAGGGAAAGACCAAAGATACGGAGCTAAGGATTTACACAGTGGTTTGGATTAGGGTGAGTTGGTAAATCTGGCTGGAGCAGAGGGTATATAGGAGAATAGAATTAGAAAATTTTGGAGCTGGAAAGGAAATCTAGTCTTAGCCTCCTAATTTTACAGAGGTGGAAACTGAGACCCAGCTAGATTGAGTGACTTGCCAAGGGTCCTGCAGGGCTATGACTAAAGCCATGCCTAGAACCCTTGTCCCTTTACCCCAGTCCAACTACAGGCTTTCTTACACATTTTCTGGGGCAGATTTGTGGTCTGCTTTAAGGTTTATTTTAATGACAGATGAGAAACAGGGAACATTTTGGTCAGGAAAGTGACATGACGAAAACATTATTTGGGGGAAGATTTTGATCTGACTGCAGGGAGGTGGCTCACTGTCTCAGCTGGCACTGAGGAGCTTCCCCAGAGATGAGACTTTCAGTGCTGACACTGGCAGAGATCTGGGCAACTAGGGGCAAGTCAGTCCTCCTGGGCTACGGAGCATAGGAGGAACTGGAAAGAGCAGTGTCTGAGTAGGAAGGCCTGCTGGAAGTTTCTGTACGGCTGTGTGACAAGTGACTTGGAAGCAGCAGTTTATAACTATAGGAAGGTGGCTGGGTGATAGAGGGAAAGAAAGGATGGGGTTTGGAGATGGATTAAATGAAGGGCAGGAAAGGGGAGAAGTCAGGAGAGACTCCATGGCTTCAATTCCAGAAAACTAGGAGAGCTATGGTATACTGAAGAAATATGACTTCTGAGGGGGTTCCTTGGGATTTAAGAGTCAGCACTGCTAACCAGCATTCCATAGGGTTTCCACCTTTGGGATCTTGTCACCTTTCTGGTAGCTCACACCCTCTGCTGTTCAGGGTCTCCCAGCACTGGTCAGGACTTACTTAGATGTGTTTATAAATTTTAAGAGCTGGGTCATGCTGAGGTTCTCTTTCTGCTTTTGTATGTTGACTTACAAGAGCTATTTAGTTATGTCTCTTTTTACCTGTTGGAACCAAAAACCAAGAAAAGGTTTGGTGATTCCAGTAGCAAATAAGGGGAGTGGGGGTGGGCTGAGTAGGAGTGAAGATAATAGCCATTGTGATAGAGAGCAGCACAGCTGGAGGCCCCTTTCTGTGGACATCTTTCAGGGCTCCTAGCAGGTCTTTCTTCAGGTTAGTCAGGCAGGCAGTTCTCTGCCTGATGCTGCAGTGGAGAGAGAAGGATCATGTTCTTAGTAGGAGGGTCCGTTGTGTACACATTTATTAAACATTTAGTAAGTTCCTGTAGGGGGAACAGAACTTTGCATTGCTTAGTCAATCAGTGGGGATTTATGAGCATAAGGAATGCCATTTTGTAGGCACTGAGGTAAAAGACACTGTCCTTGTGCTCAGGGGCTTCATTATTGTGGGAGGAGGGACACACAGGATCCTTCTCTATAGTTCAAATTGCTGCTGACATTGCTAAGATATGGAGAGGCGTTGATTAGAAGGAAGAAGGGAAGGGCCCAGGAGGTTAGAAATAACACATTTAAGGAAATCATGGAACATACTGGGTAATTTTAAGCAAATCACTTAGCCTCTTGGCATTGAGTTTCTTCATCTATAAAAGGAGAGGGTTGGACTGATCTCTAAGCTTTTCATTTATTTTTATTTTCCTTTTTTTGCATTAACATGCTAAGATGCTGGGTTTTTAATCTGAGGGTTAGCAGGAGCTTTAGCTGTTACATTATAACTGCTCTATTCATGAATTTGATGAAGGCCTCAGAATTTAGTGCTCCTCAGTCTTCCTCTGTGGAAACAAGGAGGACGATAATGGGTATCTTGTTATTTAGCATTTGTAAACTGCATGAGGCACTAGGCTGCTTTTGTTCATAGTTTTTCAATGTGTTTTGCTGCTTTTATTTGCATTCATGTTGGAATGTAGCTTCTGGTCTCAAAGGCCAGATGTTTTTAAGCTAGAATTTATTGATCTCACTATGTGGGGTAGGTTCTACGTTAAGTGTCTTACATATGTTACCTTATTCAATTTCCACAACAACTCCATGAGGCAGGCAATTTTATTGCAAGTTTTCGAACAAGAAAACTGAGGTTCAGAGAAAGAGAAATAATTTCCTCAAAGTCACGCAGCTTGGACTGGCTGAACTGGGGTTTGAGCTAACAACTTCCTGATTCCAAAGCCCTAGTTTGCAACACCTTGTTATATTGTCCCTTCTGAAAGAGGACTGGTGATTGCCTACTCCCCTGTGAGAGAAATAGCTTTCCAAAAAGGCTGGCATGAGTAAGAAGGAAATAACTTCCCAATGACAAGCTGTGAAAGAATCTGGCCATGAAATGAGAACCACCTGGGATATAACCCCTCAATATTTATTATCTCCTTGTGCTTCTCTAGTATCTAAATGGATCCAACACTGAAGGAGCTTGTAATCTATTTGGAGAGACAAGACAGATGCTTGTACTTATATATTAAAACAAACAAACAAAAATCAACCTACATGGAAAAAGCACCCTCTTCCCATTCTGTCCTTTACAATGGACAGAA